GCCAGAGATTATTTTGGGGGTGCTGTGGGGTAGCTTGACGTTTCATAGAGGGTGCTCAAACATTTAGGGTTTCCCATTAATGTACCGGTCACTACAGTGGAATTTTCTACTGCAACAATCCCCACGCAAATACAGAATGTACCCGCAACAGTTACAATGAAGGCTCGATAATCAGCTCACGGCATATGCTCACTGTAAACAGATTTACTTTTTCTTTATGGATATTTTACAAATCACCCTTTTAAACTTTATTCTTTTTTTACTGTCATATAGTATTTCATACCTGTTTTTCATTTATTCTCTTATATTTTTATAACTATAATGATCATATAAACGTGTGCCTCGGAAATAATTGTTTACATTAATGGTGACAAAAACGTTTGAGACCCGCTGAGATAACACTGAGAGAGTCCTTTAGTTCACTGAGTCTCTCAGGAGAGGACTCTCCTCCACTTTGTTGTTGAAAAAACTCCTTATAGCCGTTAGCGTAGCTCGCTAGCACCAGAAGCTAACAACAACGATCTCCGGTACCGGTGCGCTCTCTCTCGCTCGCGCACGCACAGAGCCGAGCTTTAATGAAACACAGAGACCCAGACGTAATAGTACTGTATAATATTATTTTCGAATCAATATTTTTTCAAATTATGATTATTTTTATTTTATTTTTTTTTTAATAACCATTTTTCCTCCTGGTCTCTCACGCCCCCCCCTGTCATTCCTCTGCGCCCCCAGGGGGGGCGCGCCACCCACTTTGGGAACCACTGCTTTATATCAACCTTTATGGTCCCATTTAAGACAGTTAAATTCACTGCAGGACTTTGCACTTATAGTCTGACAGTCTTACCTTGCACTTGTTTTCCCAAAATGCAGGAGGCACCAACTGAAAAGGCAGATGTGTCTTGATGATTCTTGGAGGATCCATGTTCTTCAGGAGATCAATACCTTCAACATAAGGTCAGGGAACAAGATTTTAGCAAAGAAAAACTCATTAATTCAATTGTATGCTTATGTTTGTGAGAATGAGTCCCACTCTTAGCATGAATGAACGTTGCTAAATCATAGATAAAGCAGGTTTTGACTACAGTAGCCTACCATTGGGGCAAGAAAGATTTGTATGGGTTAATATGACATTTCTCCTGGAATTGATTGGTAACATGGCAAAGAAGGACCTAGTTTGACGATGTATTTGGAAGTCATAAATGAAGTTTAGCGTTAGCTGCTGGAGCAAAGTGCTCTTGAAGATAGACTTCATTCAATTGTAAAGTAACACAACCACATGAATTCACACCTGATGGGATTGGTGGCGGGGAGACAATCTCAAGGAAAGGGCTGCGTGCCGGTGTTGGGGCTCGTTTACAGGCATCAGCATCTCCGTTGTGAAGAAGCAGGTCAACGATTTCCTGGGTCCATGTGGTCCCTAATGTGCCAGGAACACAAATTAACTCTGATTTATACAAAGATACTTTCCTTGTATTAAATTGCACCAGTTTGGGGTCAAATACCAGCTTAGTTTATGTACTTTTCCTTAAATAACTGTTTAGTTAGCGGAAAGAAGTATTATTTACTTTGGTCAAAGTAGCAAAACTACACTGTGAGAAACGGTCAAAAGTACAAAAGTATCAAAGTGAAGTTACTCATGAGTATTTTACTAATATATATTAAAATTGATCATTATAATGGCAATGGGTGTTTTGCTGTTGTAGTTTGTCAAGAAGGAGCAATATCTAACATCCATATAGCCATAGTGTTGTGTAGTTTTATTCATAACAACGCTTTATAATCACAGAACAACATTTTCTAAAGAAATACATGACACAAAGAAATGACCCTGATCCAAACTGATTTCTTTATAGACCTGAATTGGAGTGGCCTACCTGCTTTGGGGTAGGTGGCGATGAGGATGTCTGAGGGGTCAGGACGGAAAGCCCAGATAATGTCCCAGCTGTTGGCGATATGGTTCATGAGAGGAATTCCTCTGACTGGGAGCAGAGGGAAGCGATACAAAGAGCTGCTCGCCCTCTCAATGGCTTCATGGTACGACAACTTTTCCTCACCAGCCATGACTGCAGTTTAGGTAGTAAAGGAAACTAAAATCCAGAAACCAAAATGTTTCAGAAAAGGCTCGGTACGATGGTTCCTCCTGAGGTAGGTCCTCTCTTTTGTGGCTTTTGGTCCTTTGTCAAACATTCATATACCAGCTCTCTGCAAATCGTTTCCTTATTATCACTGTTTACATGTCCTGGTCACTCTTTCATCATCTCTGCCGTGTGTCCTTATCTGTTGGCAAGGAACCAATTGGTGTGGTCTCATCTGGATTTTCCTGTTTTTTCTCACAGGTTCAGAAAACAATCCCTCCTTAACTCCAAGGTGAGGCATAAGTGCTCCAGTGACTCTTTCTTTCTGTTTTTGTAAGCTGTTTGCACAAGGTTCTTGTTTGTCTGCGATCACTGGAACATGACACAGGCAGACCTACACCAAGGAGCCCTTATTCAACATTCCCAGTTACGTAGGAACTCCATTTGCTAAAAATACTGAACTGCTTGAACTGTAATTAGTGGAAGGGAAAAGGGAGGGATTTATAAATCCCCATTCAATACATTTGGGTAACTTACATCACAAACAAAGAATAGAAAAGATTGATGAACATTCAATTTGAGAGTTCAGCAAATGAGTTAATAGAAAATAGTATTTTTGTCGGACAAAATGTTGATAATATCCCACTGAAACACACCTTTGGACTCAAACTTTTATAGCAAAAATAAAAACACCCAACGGCAGTAAAATAAAACTTTTTTACAAAGGTCTGTTGCTGGCTTTCAGCTTTTACAAGCTTGCAAAGTTGAAACCTTTTAAAGGACACAAGGAGCACTCTGTTCAATCTGAAGCGGTGTATTTAGCATACACATTCCAGGATTTACAAACTCAATTTCCTGCTGAAGGTAGAAACAATATTTTTCACAGAAAACAAGGACCTCACTGACAGCCAGGTCTGTCTCAGAATTTTGTGAATCTCAGGCCATATTGATGCATGTGATAAGATGTTTACCACTTTTTCTCTATCCAATTACATTTTGTACAATCCCTCCCAAAAAATGGCTCTTAATACATTTAAGAGCATTTTTTATAATATCTGGAGATTGATTTATCTTCTAACTTTGTGAGTTAATATAGTATTTATTCTATTATTTCACTTAGATTAAAAATGTCATGTTCATATTTTCAATTCTCAATAAGTTTATATGTGTGTTTATCTAAAATGGGATGTCTAAAAACAAATCCAAAGATAACAACTATAAAGGTTCACTTCGGATTGGCATTCACTGCGGTCTCCAAGCCTAGCAGGGTGATGATTATCCCCTTGAAGAACACTGAGATATAATAAGTTACTTGTGAGGAATAACAGTGATGTCAAGATATCAACTTAATTATTTACAGTGTCATAGATCACAAAAAGTACCAAACAATAATTTTGGAAGCTTTGTAGAAATAGTCTTAATCTGTTTAATTTGAAGGTCAAATGTCCGGAATGTTGTTTAATCTCCTTAAACTTCCCTCACCTCACATGTAATTGGGCATGTAGCCCAGTGCTCAGGCCGGGCCAGATTCATTAACTCAAATAAAAAGTATTGTATATGGCATTTGAAGGCAACCGTTACACACGATAAGGATCAGGATTTACACCAAAAAAACAATGACCATGTAATCTGATCAGACATTGGTTGTTGGTATGTTGATGTTAAACTGTCAGGGTAACCATTTTCTTTAGAAGATTAAGTCTTAAGACACAAATTTGGGTAAATTAATTTCCACAGAAAAGGTTAAAATATATTTATTTGGTTGTACACAGGGCTACTTTTTTTCCATCAACATTTTTCAAAATACACTATTATTTGCTGGATGATAACATGTTTTATGCTGTCACCGTACTATCATTTCCCCTTTTTATATTTTAATTACTGATTTGCAAGACATTTTACGCCTCTGTGTATATATTTCTCATACATTACCTACATTCCCGTGTACATTAATTCCAAAATGTCTACCACGATCTATATAGCCTACATTTAATATTATGTTTACATTCACTGATGTGCAATGTTATGTGCCAGAAATTAATTTCTGTATGCGTTTTGGCCTATCTTAACTAAGGCCTACCCTATTTAATGTCATATATTCTCTATTTGGTTTATCTTGGGTGATTAAAAAGCATATGTAATAGTATTGTTGTGTGCTTATGAAAATAAAGAACTTGGACAAATACATGTCTTCTCTTTTACATTATTTACGGTAGCGTCTTCAGAACCGGAAGTTGCCGTGACTACTTCCTTGGTAACAAGAAGCTTGTGTAGCAATGTTAAGCTAAATGCATCCAGGGTTCTTGAATAGTTTATTTATTTCAAAGTTATTATAATTTACTTGAAAGACTTCATGGATGTGAAGTTGTAACGAGCGACGTAGGAGAAATACCTCCAGCTAACTGTAAAGTAAACATTATATCAGATTTCCTGTGTCTCTTTGAGTAGAAATGAATCCCCGCCGGTGGTGTCCGTTAGTTCTGATATTTTCGGTAGTGTTGTGTGGACGTTCGGCTCACGCGGCCACAGAGCCGGGGTTCACTTCAACCGTTACCCCCAGCCCTACAGGTGGGGGGTCGTTCAGTTCAGAGACCCCTGCTCCGGGCGGTAAAGCGGCGGAGGACTTCACCGGAGTCTCCACCACCGAGGCGGTCACCCCAGACCCCATGACTCCGACTGAAAGCCCCGCTGGGGACACTGAAAGCCCCTCTATGGTAACTGAAAACCCCTCTATGGTCACTGAAAGCCCCGCTGTGGTCACTGAAAGCCCCGCTGAGGTCACTGGAGGTCCTCCTGTAACCACCGTCCAGCCCCTGCTCTCTTCAGAGGGTAACTCACACCTACCTCTTGTATTCTTCATATTATCTTATCAGGTCCTGTAACTAATTACAATTTAGTTTCTTCATACTTCTACTCCACTACATCCTGAGGGAGTTTTGTACTTTTTTTTACCCCAATATATTTGTTCAGAGGTAGGAGTACTCTGTTAAAAGTAAAAGTTCTGCAATTCAAATGTTACTACCACACAAGTACAAAAGTATCTCATACATTAGTCTAGGCTAATCTCCCCATCAGAATACAAAGTAATTATAGCTCCACATTCCCTGAATCAACATTAAATTGATTTTCATAATAATGCATCCCTTAACATAGTCCAGTAATATACTAGTACATACTATTTTGAAATTAGTCATTTTGCATAAACAGTACTTTTGGTGCATTTTGATGCTGTTACTTTCGTACTTGAGTAAGATTTTGAACTCCGACTGTTACTTATAAATCTTGTATTTTTTCAGTTGCTTACTGTACTGTAATACTTGCTGTGTGAAACTATTCACTAACAATGTCTCAGATCTTAATAGACGATTCATTATCAAGCTTGTTGTACATATATTCGTATTAATTTAAGTGTAAGTGTATTTTCAATTAGATTTTATAATATTCCAAGAGGATTAATTGCCACAATCCTTGTTTAATTCCCTATTTGTTTACAACTAAAGTGCTCATACAATAAACTCTGTGGACTGAAAGGTTATACTGTCTTTTGGTGTACTCTTTTTAAACCCGTGTCTCTGTAATTGTATACTCAACTTCAGTTGTCCTGAATAACACAAGTCTTTGTTTGTTCTTATCCAGGTTGTCTCTGTGATTTAACCCCTGATTTCTGTGACATCGGCTGCTGTTGTGATACAGTTGACTGTGGGATTGCGAACTTGAGTACCGTCTTCACCGGATGTCCTCAGAAAGCCATGTAAGTCTTTTGCACATGCACTAAAGCCACAGCACATAAAGCACTTATTTATAGCATTTAAAGAGTTTTTATTTCATTTTACAGATCAGGAGTTTGCATTGAGAAATGGCTGATGTTCAGGGCTAACGTGAATACGTCTCTTGTCACTGTGACGGACTCCTTGTTTTGTGTCCGGCCTGAAGGTACGTAGATGTTATAACAGTATATTAATGTTAAAGGATTTAGAGTAACCATAAACACTGCTGTCACCAGGAGAATCACTAATTATGTTGCAGCCTATTTTGTAAGACTATCTATAAGCAACTTGTATGTACCGTCCTCTGATGCTGTTAAAAATCTACATCGAACCAACAGATAAATCCCCCCAGTCCCTCCCAGCTCCACAGCAGCTTCCTCCTTTAGGGGACTCGTACCACTTCTCCCCACCAGCACCTTTAACCATCAGCTACAGCAGAGGATTCTACAGGGTAAACACTACAGATATGACGTTTTTCTGCTCACAATATTGTATCTAATGTATTCAAAGTAACAAACGTGTATACATGAATACAACTTAATTAAGGAGTGTATCTTTAATAAAACTCTTCACACCACATTTGTAGGTGGATGATGTTATCCAGACATATTTATCTAACTCGCCCGCGCGGGGTTTCCTTCGTCAGCCCTCTCCAGGGGCAGCGTCTGCATTCTGTATCAGCCGCAATCCTGCAAGTAAGTTCACAACAATCTCATGCTAATGCCAATGCTCATGCTAGTGCTAATAGGGATCCTAATATGTTTATGATTTTGATAACATTTACTATTCCTAACATTTGATGTGTGGTAAAGTGTGCCTTTACATCCAAACAATATTGAGCACCATTTATTTCTTCTTCTGGTTTCCTCTTCTTGCAGAGTTCATGAGGTCTGTGTCGCTGTCTTGCACTCGCATGTTGACTCCTCAGTCCTGCACCACAGACGCAACTCTCAACGCCCGCTCTTACTTCTCCGACCTTAATCTGATCAAGGTCACACTGCGTGCACAACATGCTTTTGTGTGGACAATTATTTGTGAGAATTTTGCAGCAGATAACGTAAATACTTTTTTATTACAGACCCCAATTGTCGAGACAGAACAAGTTTCAGACTTTCTGGTAAGTGACTGATTTTACATACAGCACCGATCCATACGTGATATTAGCAGGCACACTTCCCTTTTGCACATGAAGTGAATTAACATACAGCTTACAAAGTCAGCTGCCAACGCTAGCATTCGGGGATTATTCCTGCATTTCATTAAACAGTAGTCTTAGAATTAATTTCTTTATTCTAGTATACTAACATCTTTAATCTATTGTACATCTCTAGATATCCTTAACTATCAAGTATGACCTCTTGTGTTGATTTTTGAAAGTTATCATCATGTTGAGTACAGTGTGCGTCTAAAATTCAATA